TTCGGATACCCCCAAACTCCATGAAAATGGTCCACAAAACCGCTTTCAAAATGGTTAAGGCCTTGTGGAGGTAAGTCACTTTGTATATTCGCTTTTTTGCACATATGCTCACAAGCTCCAGTACCTTAATCTGGTCCATTTGGCATGCACATGGGCTCGTTTGGATACCCCCAGACTCCCTGAAAACGGTCCACCAAACCGTCTGTGAAATGGTTGAGGCCTCATGGAGGTAAGTCAAATTGTATATTTGCCTTTTTGAATTTATGCTCACAATTGCTCAGCACCTTAATCTCATCTGTTTGGCATGCATGTGGGCTTGTTCGGATACTCCCAAACTCCCTGAATATGATCAACAAAACTGTTTATGAAAAGGTTGAGGCCTTGGTTGATTGTTATACATTGAATATAAAGAAATATAATTGAATGGGGTTGATAATACTGTGGAAATGTTGAGGAAGCTTGCAAGAACAGGGCTAGCAAATAATTTGAGTAAAGAGAGAGCAGAGGCATCACTATTCATATGCTTAGGGTGCTAAAAGCAAGTGTTAAGCAATGATTTGGTAGATTTGACTAGAAAATACAATGAGGAGGATGAGGCGTTCAACTGTGGGAAGAAATCATTTTCGTGGGAGAAAGTCAAATTTCAGTGTTACCGCGCTGAAAAAAGTCTTGAGATCCCAGGTAATAAACGAGTCTCTTCGTAAACTCAGAGGACTCGTAACAAACACTTACGTTTCAGCCTTTACCGAAGTGGCTTTCGACTTCTTCTTCTTGCTTGGTGTAGGTTCCGGAGATCTGTATATATGATTCATGAACGTACATGAACCAAGGAAGATATATACTCTATGGCTTCCTCTTCAGAACCTTCAGACCCACTGGTATTTCTGTATAAAATTGTTAAGCAGGAAGCCAAGCTAAATATCAAAATATGTAGAGACGTACTTGTCTTTGTCATCTCCATAATCACCAGAACCGTTGGAATCGTCAGAGTCACTCTCGATGAACTCGGGTGTTTTGACAACCTTGCTTCGGCGAGTCGTAGGCATTGCAAATATGCCGGTAAAGAACTAAAGAGGAGAAGTTGGAGATAGAGCAGGCACTGGTTTCAACCTTCTTATACATCCCAGTTTACTCCCAGGTTAAGGGGCCAATAAATTGAGGACAAGATGATTATGAAATTGCTGCGACCCACCACTGCATCTATCCTTTTCTTTACTAGTGGCACGCCGCTCATGATCGCCGTTACTGAAACACATCCTTTGCCACAACTATCGACCCTCAATGCTAGTGCGCGATGGATGATCGCCGCTATTTTTTTTTTTTTTTTCTCAATAGATTTTCTGCAATTAAGTTGCATAGCCACGTTATTCAATCATCCCTACGAATTTCTACCAGAAACAAACTACGCAGGTGATCGCCGTTGTTGAAATAAATTTTCAACAAGATACATCGGTGATTTCATTGCATACTCCCCAATTACTCAAGCCTATTTATTATGGGGAAAAAATGGCGACACATGATGGCCAAGAAAAAAATGCAGATTTCATTCTATTATATGGTGAAGGGGCGACAAAAAGTGGCTAGAATAAACTGCCATTTTGATTTACTTGGATTATGAAGAAGATGTATTGTCTGGAAATGTAGGAAAACTATGTTGAACATTGCCTTTGAATTTTGGAATGCGTTAGTTGAATAACGATAGAATGCAATCAAGAAAGAAAAGAAGCATCAATTACAATACGTTGTCGCATCCAGGAACGACCAGAGTTTTCGCAAGGCCCACCTCCAAGAGTCCACCAAATATCACACCCCTCATACGATAAAGCCTTATCCTTCTTCTCTCGTAGAATTGAAGGATAAAATGTTAGGGCGCCAACAACGACTGGGAGAGCCATGTGTTCATCAAAGGAGAAGAATAAGCGGTTTGAATCGCTTGTGTGCCTTGAAGTATGAGGACAGGAAGGATCCACTGTGCAGACATGTGGCCAGAGTTTTTCATCAAACGAAAAACCGCGTTCTCGGTACCTTGTGCGGAAGATAAGATAGAGTGGGTCCAAAATGTTCTGTTCGATGAATCTAGGAACCATGTTGCCAGCAATAATGCGATGTAGATCCAGTATCTGGGATTGTGTAGGAGATACAACCGAATGTGAAAGTTTATTGGATGTGAGGTCTGGATAGGCGCAAAATATGCCATGCTTGTTAATATAGTTCATAGTGTGTGTCGAAGAAGAATGGATGAT